AAAATTAAACCAATAAAGTTTGATAGGAGTATTTATGATAGAGGTGGCTTTCAGAGTGTGCTACTGGTGGCCTTACACATCTCTCTACACCATCTCCTATAACAGGGGCTTTTTAAACATTTTTACTGTGATACATAATAAAAACACTTTACATCTAAACTCTGAACATACATGTTTATGACAGAAACAAAACCTCTATGGAAAGAACAGTACCTATTACTGTACACAAAGTGCTTTGATAGATTTTTCTGTGGATTAGGCAGGTCCATTGTTCAGTATTAGCAATGTAATATTACAAATTGGTAGGCTAGGAGCAGAGTTAAGATTTTAAATGATTGCTCTCTGGGGGAGGAAGGGAACTATTTGATTACTGTGTGCTCATCTTATTGATAGAAGTGCCCATAAATGGATTTCTGTAACCTTTTTTATTAAGTCTGTAATGTGTCCTCATTTTAAAGACGAAGAAATTATGTTAATTACCCAAGGTAATATTGCCTCTGTGTGGAAAAGCTGGAATTTCAACCCTAATTACAAAGTCCCCAGGCTGATACCAAGGTGCTTTCTTTGCCTTGGGTTGAGTACAGTGAAGAGGCATTTATGATGAAGACAACAATCAGATAGTGACTGTTAGAGTCCTAAATTCTTTTGGTCAGTATGACTGTTTCTTTGGTAATTAGTTTTTAAAAATATTCACTTATTGGCTATTCTTACATCAAATTTGATAATTTAAAAATGATGTCTCATTCTTCTTGGTTTAATACTAATAATATACTTTAGGGAGTGCTTGTATATCTTGAGCTCTTTTTTTGGTTTTTGAATCATTCTTAGCATTTTTCAGACCATCTTAGTTTAGTATGGAAATAACTTTTATATATGTTCTTACTCTTATTTAAAAACTTTTTACATGTTGTCAATTTGACAAATAAATTATTGTGTTGTATCTAATACTTTCCTTTGAAGTTATTTTAAATTTTACCAGCACCTATCAAAATACTTTTCTGTGTTTCCATAAAAGTAGTCTTAATGCCACACTTCCCTTTCTGTTAACTTTTACCTGGAATATTATGTCTATACATGTAAATGTCAGAATTTCTTGTAAGTTCTTTTTTTGTTTCTTTTTCAGGAACAGCGTATGCCATATATCAGCTAGCTATGGCTTCATTTCCCAAGAAGCAAGACTGACTTCAGTTTATCATCTCAGCAGGCAGTTGGTTCAGTTTCATTCAGCTCTCTCTGGACCAATAATTGATACATAACTGAGTTCTTCGGGGAACAATATTTATTGACTTCTAACTGCCGCCAATAAAGCAGTCTTTACCATGCTTTGTCTTATTTTATCACTTTAGGATACATTATACCAATAATTTCAGTTTTTGATCAGCCTTGTAACTCTTAGGTAGGGAGCAAAAAAATGGTTCTTTAGTCACTAGGGTTGTATAAAATACCATTGTGATACTGGTGAAATTTTATTTTTATAAATAAATTATGTAATAGAACAGCTCAGAATTATACCGTGGATGGTTTTCAGCTGTGAATGAATGTAACACTTGAAAGCATATTCCTTCGAATCCCTCCCCTCCCTGCTGTACTGTCTCTTAGGATATGCTAGAACCTGGGGTTAGTGGACACAGGTCATTTTTTGGTTCCTGGGGTTTGAGTTTCTTTTTTTCTCTCAGCTATGTTAGCATATGTCCAAATATCGGATTTATTCCACAGCTTAGAGTTAGGCTTCAGTAGAGAAACTATAAAATAATTTACGACTTGTTCTTTTACACTAACGATGGGCTTCTATTATGTTACTATAATCCATAACATAAAGTGTAACTTCTCTTAAAACACTTAATTCATTTCTAAAAGCTATCTTCTAGGGGAACTTAAGGAGTCATACTTTGTTACCTCTACTAGGTGTACATTTGTAACACTAGTCTAGGTGCAATTCAGTCTAGGGGAAATCCATGAGTAATGGTTTTATAAACTTCAATTTTTGCATAAAATTGAGAAAAGTATATGTAGAAAAAAATGAGTCAAATCTGAAATAGCCAATCGAAGTCTTCATGTGGAAACATTGAGGCTTAAAGTATAAATCTATCTCAAAAGGTACCTAATAAAAGATGTCTCAGCCTTGAATCTTGAAGGTTTGAAAGGATCTTGGTAGCCACATCTAACCTGCCACTAAATACAGGGATCTTCCCAACTTCTGACAGCATCTTATTACTAATAACAGCAGAGAATACTGCTTTGGAAGGGAGTGGAATAAATATCAGACATTTCTAAATGTTGAGAAAGTTAAGTTGGGCTGGAGTTTGGTCCAATTTGATGATTTGGAGCTAAAAAGCAATCACTGATATTTTGAAACAAGCTATATCTGTCAGCATTTTACAGAGGAGAATTTAACTTCCATTACAAATTTCATAAAGTGATTTGAAATGCTTTTATGACATGATATGAAAGATACTGTTTTGTAGTAAAAAGAAAAACAGCCTGATATCCTCTGATAGCCTTCATCTCAATATTGAGAGGTGCTTTACTATTTCTGACATAACACAATTTATAAAACAGTTTCCATGTGAAAATGTTATGTTTGGGCTATGTTACCATGGCAAGATGGGATAAAGTAAAAGGTTGAATGCTTAAGATACTTGAAAAATTCTTTAAATTGATGCTAAGTTTAAATATTTGCCCTTCACTTTAAAAATCTGCATTGTAACTAGCAGTGGAGATGGGGAGGGGTTGAGGGGCAAGATCCCAGGATAGAGGTTGCTGGACAGAATTTAGTGAAAATGTCTGCTATACTTAACAATTTAGTGAGAGATCTGTTAACAGTTACTGATAGATTGCAAGACCTATCCAAAAGTCCCATGAACAGAGTCCATTAGAAGTGTTGAAATGTGGCCATCAGGAAACAAAACCTTCATTCCAATCTCCTTTTTAATCTTTACCATACAGTATCTCTTTGAGATTAGTATCTGTTACTAAATAGAAATTCCGTGATGTTATTCCATTAATAAAGACCATTTGAGATATATTTAAGTGAAATTTTGTTATAATTCATATTAATGCTCAAAATCACATTTGTAGTCTGTAGCTGTTCTATATGAAGTTGAATTATTTACAGATGAAACAAGCTCACAGAAGGCATGCAATTTACACAAAGCTACAAATAAATGACAGCACAAGGTTTCAAATCCAGTTTTACCTGATTCTTAAAGTTCATGGACTTTCCAGTATACTTTATCTTCCGTGTTTGATTAAATGTTGACTGGGATAGCTTCAATACACTGTTAATAGCAGTGTATATATGAATACTTTACAAATATGAATACCCTATTTCCATTTCACCTGTACAGTCAAGTTTCTTGGAAGAGCGATCAGTACAGCCTCTAAGTCCGTTGTCCATTTCACATTGATTGTTATAATTGAAAATCTACCTATTTAACATCTGTCTTCATATTTGAGATCCAAACTAAGCACTCTCATCACATCTCATATTGCTCTGCTTCTTGGTGAATGCATACTCACTTTTAAAAACTTTTTTTTTTTAATTTTTTTTCAACATTTATTTTATTTTTGGGACAGAGAGAGACAGAGCATGAACGGGGGAGGGGCAGAGAGAGAGGGAGACACAGAATCGGAAACAGGCTCCAGGCTCTGAGCCATCAGCCCAGAGCCTGACGCGGGGCTGGAACTCACGGACCGTGAGATCGTGACCTGGCTGAAGTCGGACGCTTAACCGACTGCGCCACCCAGGCGCCCCTAAAAACTATTTTTGAGAGAGAGGGGACAAAGGATCCAAAATGAGCTTCGTGCCGACAGCAGAGAAGGCAATGTGGGGCTGCAAATCACAAACCGTGAGATCATGACCTGAGCCCAAGTTGGACACAACCAGCTAAGCCACCCAGGTGCCCCATGCATACTCATTTTTGACACCCTGTTAAGTCCCAAGATTCTGCTGGAAACTTTGACATTCTCCCCTCTGTCCCCTATGTTCCCTGTACTCCTCTTTATCAAGACTTTTATCCCTTTGAATTTGAGTTCAAATTTGAATTATAATTGATAAGACTGGAAACCAGTAGAGCATTGTAGTTAATCACACACATGATAGAAGATCCAGCTTCAAGTCTTGGATTACCATGAATAGCTAACCTTGCTAGATGTGTATCCTCATCTGTATAAATACTTAATGCACATGGTTATTCTAATGCATGTAAAGTACAAAGAATGGTTTCTGGTACATACCAAGTGTGCAATGGTAGCTGCTTCTCTTGTTGGCTCTCTGAGAAAAGGAAATGTATCTTTTCATCTCATATCCATAACAACTTGACACAAAGCAGGGTCTATGGCTGGTCAGGGCTGGTAGGGCAGGCTCACAATTTCACCCACATCCTAAGTGTAGCTGTCATTCAGCTCTCCTCAGTGTGTGGTTTTGTTTCTTGTAAGGTGACTCCTGAAGCTCCAGCCATTTTCTTTGTTTTCCGCAGGAAGAAAGATTGGTGAAAGAGAACATCCCAAATAAGTGAGCACTCTTTAAAGAGCTTTAGAAGCTCCAAAGACCTCAGCTTAGATGTCTTTGGCCAGAACTTTGTCCCATGTTCATGCCTGGATTCAAAGAGGCCAAGAAATGTCTTAGCTGGGCAGATGGCCAAGTAAAATTGGAGTTCTATATAGTAAGGAGAGGAGACCAGGTATTAAGTTAGCAACTAAGAGTCTTTCCCCAGGGTGTGGTTTTGTTGTGTGTGTGTGTGTGTGTGTGTGTTTCACAATGGTATGAATCTCGTTTATTTAAAACGTTATTTCTCACCTTTCTCAAATTGAACACTGCAAAAAATAAAAGCAGTGTTTTATTGGGTTGTCATTTACCCTGGGAGCAGTGTTGCTGCGTGTCCACGGCTATGACTCCTGTGCTCACGAAACCTCAGCTCACACTAGCCAGATCTATCCCACCTCACTTTACAAAACAATCCTGAAAGTTTAATCAAACAAAGCTGTTGTACACATTTACATTACGAAAAGATGTCAGGATGTAGGAAAGTCAGGTGTATCGTTCCCTTTAAAGTAAGGTTTGCTCCGCCTTTGGGGTATCTTTGCTTCCTGGAGGCAGAACAGCAGACGAACCCAAATGGGAACAAAATGATGCCCAGGAAGATGCCCAGGAAGGTGAAGAAGTCCTCCCAAACCCGACTCTGCAGACTGGGGTGGCCTCCAACGACAATGGAATGGGCAGGGTACCTGGTGACATTTCGACGGTGGATAGAAACGTAGACCCTGGGACGGCGGGTAGGTATCCTTGTGACCGGGTGGGTGTAGGGCGGCGGCGGGGGCGCGGCGGCGACGGTCCTGTGGCTGTGCGGGCGAAGTCCCCCGGCCGGGCCTCCAGGTGGTAGGCGGGCGGCTGCTCCGGCAACAGGGCCTTGCGGTCCGGTCCGAGGCTCCCGCAGGGACTCTGCTCGGAGTGACGGGGACGCGCTTCTAGCTTGTTTTTTTAAAAGAACAAAGTCAACACTGTAGGAACCTTCCGTTCGTGGCTCTAATTTCTGATGTGACGCACATCGGTGCCTGTACTTAGGCTTCCATTGGCAAATATCTTTTCCCGTTTTGCTTATATTAGTTCACGTAGGCTTCGCAGCCAGGAGCCAACCAAAGCAGGGTTCCCTGACTTTCCCACCTATTGTGTCATCCAGTGGAACCACTGGAACCATCCAATGGTAAACTCTACCATTTACCCTGAACAGTACTTAGAGGATTAATAAATGGTGGCCATTACTGGTGTCTTACAGCAGACAGGAATGTTTCAAAAAGATTTCCTTAGGGAACACAAATGCAAGTAGATGTGGAGAATACAAGAATGATGCTGCTGCTATAGGCAGTTTGGTTTAGAGTTTGCAGACCCATTCCTGCTGTTTGAGAGTTTTGCACAAGTTCCCCAAAGCTGGCAATTCTCTAGGCATCTAACTTGGACTCCCTCTTCCTGGGTCCTGGATGCATCCACCCAGAGAGCAACATTTTGTAATCCGTTCATCAGGACTTGTATGCACTGAGACTAATAATTCAACTTAACAGATATTGAGTGCCTACTATGTGCCAGACACTGTTGTATGTACCTGGGAATCATGGATGAACTGAGTTTACATTATAGTGAGAGGTAGCAGGGAAGACAGTTAATAAAATATAAAAATAAATTGTATAATATGTCAGAAGGCAGTAAGTTCTATGGAAAACAAGACCAACAGGGAGAGCTGGCATGAGGTTGGGGTGATTGGTTGCAGCAGAAAATAAGGTGTGAGGATAGACTTCAATGGGAAGGTCATATTTAAATAGAGACTAGAAGGTGAAGGAGTTAGTCACTTAGATATATGAGGAAAAGGCATTATAGGAAGAGGGAACAGTCTAGAGCAAATGCCCTAAAGTGCCTGGCATGTTCAAGGAACAGGAAGGCAATAGCAGTTATCACTAAGAGTGAAGGGGAAGTCAGAGAGAAAAGGACAGACCACACTAAGAAGGGACTTGTAGGCTGTTATAAGGACTTTGACTTTTACTCTGAGGGATGTGGGAAACCACTGCAGGTTTTGTTTTGTGTTTTTTTTTTTTTTAAGTTTATTTATTTGTTTATTTGACGGGAGGGGACAAAGAGAGAGGAGAGAGAGATAATTCCAAGCAGGCTCCATGCTCAGCGTGGAGCCTGATCTGAGGACTCTAAGATCATGACCTGAGCCAAAATCAAGAGTCAGTTGCCCCACTGACTGAGCAACCCAGGTGCCCCTGTTTTGTTTTGTTTTTATAGAATACAGATGTACATATATTATAAAAGGGATTAGCTTGACTGTTGTGTTGAAGTAGGACCCAGGGGTAGAAGCAGACTGATCCATTAAGAAGCCCACTGTAATCACCCAGGAGGGAAATATTGGAGACAATGAGTAGGTGTTAGTCATACAGGTAATCAGAAGTGGTCAGATTATGGACAGAGGAGGAGGATCTTTATCAGACTGTGTCCTTCCTCATCTATCCATCCATCCATCCATCCATCCATCCATCCATCCATCTATCCATCAGCCATCCATCTCTCCATCCATCTATCCAACCATCAATTGCTTATTGAAAGCCTACTTTGTTCTAGTCAGTGGAGACAGACAAGTAAATAAATTAATAAGCATGATAATTGTCTATAGTGGGAACTGCCATAAAGGAATCAACAGTGTGATGTCTTAGGAAAAATGATGGAGTGAAAGCTAGAAAGGCCTCAGAGGAAGTAGCATTTGAACTGACACACACACACACTCACACACACACACAAGGAGCCAGCTGTGTGATAAATGTCAGGAGAAAAGCATCCCAAGGAAAAGAAATTGCTTGGCATGGTTGAATTGCAAAAAGAGGACCAATGTTTTTGGAACATAGGAGATGGAGAAAGCAGCAATTGTGATCTCTTTCCAGAGACTAACACAACAAATGGCCATGTCCCTACACACAGTCCCTAGATTGGTCTTTTTTGGTTTCATAAAATGCAATACAATCTGAGAGCCATACAACTAACTTAACAAGAAGTTTAAACATAAACAAACACATGGACGTTTGATCCCAGCCAGTTGTTGTTACTATTATTAGCAAGAATTAGAAACTGAGGAAATAGTGAGAGATCAAACACACAGCAATTGCATTGGAACTAGACTTTAAATATAGATGTGTCTTATTCCAAAAACAATTCTTCATCTGCTACTTACCTTGGTACTTCCTACATGAGGAAAGAAGAAAGAAAAATACTTAGGAAAACTTTACTGGTTTATCCCCCCCACAGACTTTATTGTCTTTGAACATTGTTCCATTACTGATTCAATATTATGTTATGTTTGATAGATCTGTGTCTTACAGACAGGCAATTTTTTATTCCCTTTCTTTTTTTTCTGATTTCCATGAATCTAGCCACGTATCTACTCCAATTGCCTACCTCTATTGAAATTATAGTTTCATAGCTGCTACTTATGTTTTGTTTAAAGCAACTTTTTCAAGTCAAGGATATTTTGCAGCATTCATCTCATTAATGCAGAAAACTGATCAAAGCACAAGACAGTTTCCAATTTTTTGTCCTAGTGTAATATACCAGTGAAAAAAGTGATTACATGTTTACAATTAGATTGCTTGGAAGTAGAGAGCTCTGTATTGAAATGGTAATTTCAAAGCATATATGGACTATGTTACATGAGGAAGAAGAATTTATATTACATTTTTGTAGCCTTCATGCCCAAATATAATGTGTGTGTGTGTGTGTAAATAAATTTGGATTTGAGTATTGGCCTCCAATTATAAATGTGTCATTAATATATTATCAAAGATGGGCTCTTTCCTTGAATTCTGAGACTATGTCAGATCTTTATTGACCTCTTATAGGAGGCCATCATCTTCCTTCTGGGGAGTTGCTAAAAATATTCTCTTGGCTGATGTTCTTGCTTGGCCTTGTTACATCTCTCCAGACCATTTTACCTCAATTAATGCACTTGAGCTAAAACTTTCATCGTACATACAACAGTAATTTTTCCACTTTGATTCTATCCTACTATCAGGATGACTGTTTTTAAAGGGTTCTTTCCAATTTAGCTGTAACACGTTTAGAAAAAAACAGGCCAGAAATGCCTGTCATAGATGAGAAACTAGGAGTCTCTTTTTTGTTTAACTCTGTATTTATCAATAAAGATCTGGACAAAAAGCAGCTAACAAAATCCCTCCATAGGATTGAAAGATGTAAAAACAAACAAAACAAAACAAAATGATACATTTCTCAAGAAGCAATTTTATTTTATTAAAAAAATTTTTTTTTCAATGTTTAGTTATTTTTGGGACAGAGAGAGACACAGCATGAACGGGGGAGGGGCAGAGAGAGAGGGAGACACAGAATTGGAAACAAGCTCCAGGCCCTGAGCCATCAGCCCAGAGCCTGACGTGGGGCTCGAACTCCCGGACTGCGAGATCGTGACCTGGCTGAAGTCGGACGCTTAACCGACTGCGCCACCCAGGCGCCCCTCAAGAAGCAATTTTAAATATCAGTTCATTTCTCAAGTCTTAAAAGATACCCTAGCCTCATTTCTCAAAATGGCAGCAGCCTAGCATAAATAACACATCTGTGATCATTGTTTTCCAAATCAAGCTTTTTAACTGGTAGAATTGTTTTTATTATAGATGATTTTAAACATGATGAGAAAGAAAAAAATGGATATGTATAGAACACTTAATACAATGTATTATATTACCATTACAGTAATGGTATTATACATTATACATTATACAAGTACAATGTATTGTATTACCATTGGTAATATAATGTATAATGTATAATGTATAATGTATAATGGTATTATACATTATACAAGTACAATGTATTATATTACCATTTCAGAAACACTTTATTTCTCTTAATTTTTTTTTTTTTTTTTTGAGAGAGAGAGAGGGAGAGAAAATCTTAAGCAGACTCCACACTCAGCATGGAACCTGATGTGGGGCTCTATCCCATGAACCTAGGATCATGACCTGAGCTGAAATCAAGAATCAGATACCCAACCAACTAAGGCACCCAGGTGCCCCAGAAACATTTTCTTGATATGAAACCAATTCATGTATACTAAGTACAAAAAAGAATAAAGAAGAATGCTTCTGTTAATGTTCTAATCTTTGTTCTATGTATAAATAACTGGAGGACAGGTGTGCTTTTAGGACTCTCTCTGTCTCTTTATCCTTTTATCTCTATCTCTTTATCCTTTTAGGACTCTCTCTGTCAGCTTTATCCTTTCAGAATCCATTCTTCACTATGGCAGAAACATGTCTTCTGTTAACACGTACTTTCCAGTCTTACCGCCTGCAGTTAGTCTGTTCAGGATGTAATAGCAAAATACCAGACTGGGTGGCTTAAACAAGAGAAATTAGTTTCTCACAATTCTGGAGGGTAGGAGTCAAGGTGCTGACCAAGTCAGCTTCTGGTGAGAGCTCTCTTCATGGCTTGCAGATGGTTCCCTTCTTGCTGCATCCTCACATGACCTTTCCTCTGTGGTGTGGAGAGAGCTTCGGTGTATTTTCCTTTTATAAGGACATTAATCCTACTGGATCATGATCTCATCTAATTTTAGTTACCTCTATAAGGACCCTCTCTTCAAATAGTCATGTTGAAGGTTAGGGCTTAAACATATGAATATTGAGAAACACACCTGAAAGAAAATGAGGGTTATTTCTGGTTCCATGTTCAAAAATTTCAGGAAAGGGCTCTGACTAGTCCAGCATTCATCAAGTGAATCTGAAAAGTATCATAATTGACCCTATTTGTTTTAGGGCTCACTCCTTGCCAATCAATAGCTTCTGTTTAAGGAAATACTACTCTGAAGAGGTTCTCATGGATTAAACATGTAGTATTCAAAAAATATAGAATTATAGATTTGATACTGTATGCACCTGGTGTGTGCAATCAAGGGTGCGTAGGAGGTAAGCATACTTAAAAGTATATGGTTCTTTTTCTCAAGAGTAACTGAGAGATGAAAAATATCTCGATATGAGATAAGTAAGTTAATTCTAGAAGTGTAGAATATTCTGCTCAAAGTTTTAGTGGCAGGAAAAGAGAAATTCTGAAATGTATGGGATCTGAAATTTATGATATTTTGGTATCCAAGGATCCATTGCAGGATTTCTTGATTTTTTTTTTTTTTTTAGGAGGTAAACCTGAGGGCAGAAGGAGATATGACTGGGGACCTTCAGAAGGTTTCAGCAGTAGCATTGAAGATGGACCGGAGTGGAGATAGAATGGTTAATAAGGAGGATATTATTGTAGACTAAGCAAGATTAAAAAATATCGAGGGAAGGGATGTCTGGGTGACTCAGTCGGTTAAGCATCCAACTCTTGGTTTTGGCTCAGGTCATGATCTCACGGTTCGTGAGATTGAGCCCCACATCAGGCTTTGCACCGACAGTGAGGAGACTGCTTAGGATTCTTTCTCTCCCTCTCTCTCTGCCCTTCCCCCTGCTCATACTCTCTCTCTCAAAATAAATAAACATTGAAAAAATAAAAATATTGAGGAAAGTGAATTGTCATGGGTGTCATTGGGGTGAGAGTAAGTTAAAGGTGGCAGGAGGTGTTAGTAAGGATATTAATAATAACCTAAAGTCTTACGAGTCACGTTTTGTGAGAGAAGCAGAATAAGCACCATGAAGAGAGCAGAAGTAATAGAAGAATGGGTGAATTTGTGAAGAGGGCCAGCGACATTATTCTTAGATTTCTACCTTCAATAATCACAGGTAAAAAGAAAGCTGATGGTGGAGATAATCTAAGACCAGAAATTATAATTTATAGTTACAGCATGTTCCTTCAAAAATGAGACCCAATGTCTATGCACTCCAATTTTAAAATATGGGAATAGTAGACCAGAAGAGAGCTGCTCAGGACACATGAAGTGGCTAGTGCTGGGTTGTGCTAGTTATGCTGACCAATTAACCTGGTCACCCAGCTTGGGAGCCCATGGAGGCCACATTTACATTAGTGTCCAAATGACCAAAATTCCCACCTGTCCACATAGAAGCACTGCTGTACTTCAAGGTGTCCTAGTTCATTTCTGTGTCATCAGGCCCTCACAGATGACCAGGAATATGATTTTCCATATTCCTCCCTTTTGCCCTTCTTGTCAGACTACTTCACCAATACCACGAAAATTCAACTCAGCTAGGCACTGCTCTGCCTAAGGTTCTGTCTTCTGTTCCCAAACCTACCCTTCCCTGTTGTCCCAGGGCAGAACTGGTTTGCATGGGAAACGGGTAGCACTTTTCCTTCATGTGTTCATTCGACAAACATTGAAATGCCTACTATGAACCCAGTAAGGTTCTAGTCCCTGGAGTGTATATCCATGGAACAAAATTCCTGCTCTCAGTGAGTTACATTCTGAGCCACACTTCCTCAGTGAGGCCTGGAGGCAGCAATTCTGGTGCAAGACTTGCACCAAGTGTTGCAAAGTTTCTGGTGAAGACGACTTCTCCAGCTTTGGGCTCCTGTTAGTGCCTCTCCAATAAAACCTTCACGTGCCACAAAAAGAAATAACCATTTTCAGGCACACAATGTCCCAACCCATACATATTTAGAAAGAAAATGTCAACATTTTTGTTTTGTTGATGGAACAGAAAGTATTCAAAGCTGGAATTCCATCTGCTTCATTGACAACCTTTCACATGATTCTAGAGCCTCAGCTTTGTCCTTGAACAGTCACTTGGCCTATCGTGGGGGTCTTTCCAGGGCAAGTAACAGCCTGCCCCCAAAGAGTGCCTAAGCCATCACTTCCTCCAAAACAGAAAACAGTTCCACTCTTGACATGACAGCATTTTTGTCTTTTGATACATGCATCAAGATTTCAATGCTCTTGGGACCATATTTCAGTTCCCAGACTCAAACTCAGGGAACTGTGACCTTCCTCTTCCCCTGAGCAGTCTCCACGAGGAGGCTTCTCTCATTGCAGCTTGGGAACAGGAGTTGGCCCTTCCATGAGGGCAGTGGAAGAGCTCTCCTTTTCCTTTTTATGTCCTTTTTTGAGGGTGCTTTGCTTCTCCCAGTGCACCCTGTGATAAAAATGCCAGGACCCATAGTAGGTGACACTTCTATGGTAGAACACAGTTTTCCTGGAAGGGAAGAACAAAAGAAATGAAGGCTTCACTTACAATGGCTCAACTTAAAAGTGATGTTCACAAATCGATTCAGATTCTATAACCACTTGTTGA